ATCCGGGGGGCTGGTCACTAGCTTCCTCAGCTTCCATATGCCCTCCGTGAGGACGGGGAGCGGGCCCTTCAGTTCACCGTTGCTTCCCCAGGACCCAACGTGACGCTCTGCCCACAGGGCCTGTGGACACCTGTCCAGTGGGCTAGTTCTGCCTGGGCTCACACAGCCGGCAGCCAGGCTGCCCGCCTCCGAGTCCCTCTGCCCCGCGCAGCAGCCCCTGCCGCCCTCCAGCCCGCCTCCGAGCACACCCACCTTCAGGCTGCGAATGCTGGACGGGCTGGCGTCCGACTTGAGCATGACCTGGATGTCCTGGAGCGCCTCCTCCCCAGCAGGCCGGGGCCGCGTCACCTCGTCGGCCACCTCCTTGGCGGCTTCCTCCAGCTGGAGAGGAGGAAGGGATAGGTTGTCAGGGACGGGAGCAGGGCAAGGCCTGGGGGACGCAGGGGCGGGGTCCCACTCACCAGCTGCAAGTGTTCAGTAGGCTGCTTGTACAAGAAGTCGGCCAGGTCCTCGTCAAAGCTGGCCAGGTCCTCCATCTCCACCTCGATCCAGTACTCCCCCAGGTTGTAGTGCCGCTTGAGCTCATCCCTGCAGTGGGCGGGCGGCAGGGTGCAGGTGGGGCAGGGTGCAGGGGAGAGGAAGCCGACACTGGCTGAGGCACTGCCCCAGCACTCCCCTCCCCAGACGCACACGGAGTTGCAGAGGCTCCCCGCTGCCGGCAGACGCATCCCCCACAGAAAGCTCTGTGGAAGGATGTTTCAGCACCCAGACAGGGCTCTGAGACAGGTCAGTGTGGGAGACTCTCACTGCACAGCAGTCCTTGTTTCAGGACTCTTTGGGGCCTTTCACTCTCCCTGGGGGAGCTGACAAGGCACACACCTCGGAGCTTGGGGACCAAAGGCAAGGCAGCAGACACCGTGTCTGTCTTGTCACCCACCAAGCTATATGCAGAGCACCCCATGGGACTATTGTCCCAAAAGCACATTTGGGGACCACAGGCCTACACAGAGCCCTCTCCCCTTCTACCTTATGCTCAGGAGTCACTCAACACGGCAGCCTGGCACCAAGAGCCCTCGCTGTGACGGGCCACCCGAACATCTGCCTGTGCAACCGCTACGTGGGCCACTTCCCGCACAACTCTTCTGTCAGCTCCGGGGTCACCCCGAACTTCAGCTCCTCTGGAAGCCTCTCCTAACTCCGCTTCTACACTCCTCTGAGGTGACGATCACCAAGTAACGATTTGTTGGTCTCTGTGCCTCGCTCCCACCGACTTCTTGAGGGCACGTGGGACGAACCCTTTCCTGTTGGTATGTCAGGGTCCAGCCCAGGGCCAGGCACCCAGGAGGGCCACGCTGGCCGGTGCGTGAGTACTTGGAGGCAGGAACGGCTATACCCATTTTACTGACCAAGAAACGGAGGACCAGAGAGACTGTCACTTGGAAGTCACTCCACCAGAGCCTGGACCGGCAAACCCCTGTGCCCCGAGTGTGAACAGCCAACCATGGCGTGGTGCGGTATCACAGGCCACACAAGGGCCAGGTGCAGGGACCTTGCCCAGCGTGTTCAGTGCTGCAGCCCAGCACCCAGAACAGCACCTGGCAGGCAGCAGGCGCTCAGTCAACAGCGGTTCCAAGATTGGAATGCGTGAATGAATGAATGAAGAAAATCACAACTCCCCTCTTCATCTGTAACACCCACAGAGAACTTGCGTTTCCCAGACACCTGACACTCCGGGGGATAACAACAAAGACATAGGAACAAGATCTGGTAAAAGAACCAAAGGGCCCAAGTGGCTCTAGCTGGGTTGTTGGGGGCCGACTCAACAGGTGACTCACTCAAAAGGTAACCGCAAGTATGACATATCCAAAACCATATCCCACGACGTGCGGGGGCCTGATGAGGCATCGCTGAGACCAAAATCCCTAGAACGGGACAGGCTCCTTCGCCTCCCTGCCAGTTTCCCCATCTGGGTCCCGCAAGACACCAAAAGGCTGTGGGCGGAGGCATGTGCACAGCTCCTCAAGCAGAGGGGGCTGCAGGCGCCCGTCCCCTCCCGCCCCGCTCCAGCCCGCACCTGTATTTGAAGGTGAAGCCGGTGCGGTCCGTGCCCACTCGGTACTGCCGCAGGAACTCCTTAAAGCGCCTCTGCAGCTGCGACTTGCGGGCTTTGCCCTCATCGGCCGCGGTGTCCCCCCCGAAGCTGTCACTGTAGAAAATGCCGGGGTCGTCGAAGCCCGACATGACTGCACCTGGTGCGGGGACAAAGGGCTGGAGCAGACTGGGGACAGCGCGCGGCCTCCCTTCTGCTCCGACGTCTGGGCCTCGGCTCCGAATGCGGGGCAAGGTGTCCAGTTCCCGGATCCCGACCCCAGTTCCCCCGGGACAAACCCTTGGCCGCCCTTACTGCACGCCCAGAGGCGGACGCCTGCCGACCCCTATGGAGCCGGGTCCCCGCGTCCCGACTCCCCAGGCCCACCGGGCTCACCTCTCTCTTCCGGCACTCCACGGACCCGGGGACACGAGCAACCCACAAGCTCCGCCGCCGAGTTTCGCGGGAAAAAAGAGACGCCGCGTTCGGGCGCCGCGGCCGCTGCGTCCCCATTGGTTCGCTTGGGCCTCGCGGTCAGTAATTGGACCGTTCTGGGCCCTAGAGCCAGCCTCTTGGACCGGCATCCAAAGCTCATTGGCTTTGGGGCTCATGACGTCAGGCCTCCCGGCCTCTTTCCGGACTCCATTTTGTGTGCCAGAAAATTTGGCGCGAAATTTCTGATGTGGGAGGGGAGGGGCGGGGCCGAGCGCAAAGATGGCGGAGGGGCGGGTCTTCGGGCCGAGGGTGGGCGGGGTTGTGCAGAGCTGTCAGTAGAGTGCGCTTCTGAAACCTTTCTTAAAGTCTCTAAGCAAAAGACCGCTTTCAGGGCCACGGGGTGAAAGGATCGAGGGTTCAGAAGGTATAGGTCCCCTGGGGGCTGGGAGGCCACATGCACACCTGCCATGTGTTCTCACCGTTAACAACTCCCAAAAGCTGGATAGTCATCAGGCATAAATGACCTCTGGTCTCCTTAACGCAAAGCCATCCCAAACTTGGAACGCGACGTTTTCGTAAACCCCGAGGTGCTCGGGGGTTTTTTCATCGAAGATCTAAAATTATTTGTAAATGTTTAAAATTTGCGAGAACTCACAATGAGATTCCCAACCTAGCTGGAAAAATGGTTCAAGATTTGGCAAAAATCGACACATGCTCAAGCAGCAACAAGGGCTGCATAATCTCCCTGCTTCTTCAGCCCCAACCCCGACACAAACTGGAAAGAACTTTTTATTCCCTTTGCCACCTTCACACAAAGGTATATCGATATGTACAGCGAGTGTTTCAAAAGTGTATTTTTACAGTGTATAAAAAGGATACCGCAAGTGAATGTGAAACTGGCTTTTCTCATTGATACCTCGTGGAAGTCTCTCTGAATGGGCACATAGATCTAACTCAGGCAAGCTACTTGTTTCCATGGTAAGAATAGAATACAAGTTATTCAGCCACTTCCGGGCTGGTAGATTTCAAGGTTTCTCTCCCTTCCCCTCCCTCCCTTCCTGTTTTGCCACTGCAAACAATGACTCCCCAAGCCCTTCCACGGAAGACAGGAAACCCGTGGCACCCACAGTCTCCTACGTCCTTGCTCCTGGAGCTCATTGCATGTCAGAACCTCCCAGGGAGCTTGTCACAAACAGGATCCAGACTCCAGCCCCAGGTGTTCAAAACCGGGGCCTCCCAGGGTGGGTGGGTCCAGGATTCTGATGTCACCTGGCAGAGGCTGGTGTTGGGACACCGCCTGGCCCTCCCACCCGCTGTAGGAGGTAGGTGCTTTGTTCTCATCTTGCCAGAGAACAAAAGGAGACTTGAAGTGACTTGTCCGAGGTCCCAGACTGAGTGACAAAGCCAGGACTGGGGACAAAGGACCTCCTGACTCCCAGCCCTCTGAACCCGTTGTCTAAGGACCCGCCTTGTCTCCTGGGTTCCCAGATACACTGCGAGCAACAGGCTTTTGCTTTCCCAGATTGGGAGGCTGTCTTTTTATTTAAATTGTTTTTAAAAAATAAAATGCTATTCTTTATTTTTGGAGGGGAAGGGAGGGAGAGAGGGAGAGAAACATCAATGTGTGGTTACCTCTCACACACCCCCTTACTGGGGACCTGGCCCAAAACCCAGGCATGTGCCCTGACTGGGAATTGAACCGGGACCCCTGTGGTTTGCAGGCCGGCACTCAATCCACTGAGCCACACCAGCCAGGGCAGGAAGCTGTATTTTTAATATTGCAGTGGCTTTCGGGACTTAGGGGACAGACTTGGGTTAGGGATAGAGCTGGACAGACCCAGTTCAAATCCTTCGTCACCCTCAGAGAGGGTGACACTCCTCACAGATGTGCTGTGAGAACTGTATGACGTGACATCGGTGAGGTGACTTGCAGCACAACCACCGCTTAGCAAGAACACAACACCCTCATCACCCGTGTTTCGTCACAGGAGATAATAATGTACAATGGTGGCATTTTCCATGCATCCATCTCATTGGCTTCTCAAGACAGGCAGGTGAGGTGGGCCTCACTGCAGGAAGGTTCCAGGTAACAGAACGGAGCCCTCAGAGAAGTCGACAACTAACCTTTTAACAGCAGAGCTACAGAGTAGCAGGGACTTCAAACCAGGGACCACACGGGTGGACTCGTGGTCCAGGATTCAGATTTTATCCCAGACCCTGCTCATTTCAGCCTCAGAGGGCAACCCCATCCTCCAACAAGGTGAGTCTTGCATCAAGCAGGGTTCACCACAAAGATTCACCCACCAACTGCTTGAAGCTCACCCTCCCCCCACCAAGCCATTCTCAGAACAGAACACAACACCCAAACCGGCTCCAGCCACCCATACCTTCACCCCTTCTCCCCACCACCCAAGAAACAAAGGAGAACAAAAGTCAGTTCTCCAAGAGTCACAGAGCCCAAGAGAAACACTTCAAGTTACTGTCAGGCAATGCAGTTTATTATTTCACACACAAGTTAGAGAGACCAAGGCCACGGTGCTGTTCAACGTCTCCCTCAGCACCGCTCCAACCCCCCAACCCCGCTATAAAAACAACAGAACACAACAGAACACCACGGGCAGGCTGAGCCGGGAACAATGTGGCTCCGACAAAACAAGACAAACACAAGACACATCATCTTGGCACGTGTGCGTGAACATCGCCACGACCCTCGGGGAGCTGAGTGGTCACGGCTCGTCCGCAAGGAGACAGCAAGCCCAGGGCGTCTGGAGGGCTAGGACGATTGCCCCTTCTGGCCGCATCTCCCGGGCTCTGCTGCAGGAACAGGGGAGGCGACGCCCGGAGGGACGGCCGGGCAGGACCCCTCGCCCCTGTCTGGAAGTCCAAGTCATTGGCTGGATGTGCTTTTCGGTTAGGAAGGTGCCACAGACTCCTCCTTCCTTGCCAGAGAGAGGGGGATGGGGGCGGTGGCGGGGAGCTGAGAGCCCCCACTGCCCACGGGAAGGAAGCCAGTCAAGAGATTCTCCCTCTCCAGAAAGAGGGCGCTCCGCTGGACAGAGTCCGAGGCCCCGGCAGCCAGCACGGGTGCGTTCACATGGCATAAAGGCCCACGGCAACCGTTGCCACCAGGAAGCTGAGCGTGAGAACCCATCGGAGGAGGGGCACCTGGGAAAGGGCACTGGGCTGGGGCTTCCCTCTGGGAGTCTCCGTGGGAGTCAGGCCTGAAAGAGAAAGGAGGTCGGTGTCAACAACAGGTGGACAGACGTGGGGCATCTGACTTCACAGCAAAACACAGCAGAGGGGCCTCAGCAGCCTCTAGTGAAGTCCCACTCAGTGCCACGATTCTGCTAGGACACAAACAGGTGGCGCTGTAGCCACTGCTTGACTACCTCCAAAGATGGGGAGCTCACTACTTTACTACTGCTCCAAGCTGCCTACCCGTCCATGTTCAGCCAGCCCACATTAGGAGACCATGCCCCCAGGGGGGGACTCCTGGGGACCACACTTTTTGAGAACCACCGCAATAAAGCAACGTCACCTCATCCCACCAGGGAGCCAATCCCATCAGGACTGGCCACAGTCCGGGACTCCCAGACACAGCCCCAACAGCGGGGTCCACGTGGTCCGGGCACACGTGGGAAAGCCACCGGGCAGGTGGGTGACGGCGGCACCCAGCAGGCGGTGAGCTTCGCCTCTGCACTCGCCCCCACTCCCAAAGCCACGTTCCTGCGCACAGGTGCCAGGCCGGGCGAGGGTCCACTTCCCAGCTATTCTCTGAGCGCAGCCACCACCTCCACGCCTCTCCTAAGGCACAGGAGGGCAGGACTGACACAGGACAAGGCCCAGAGCCGGGCAACAGCTAGAAATGGCCCTGGACGGCCTGCCCCCCGCCAGGGGCAACTGCTCAGGGATCCTTCAAGGAACCCAGATTAAAGGAGAAAGGCTTCGCCCCGGACTTCCCGGGGTCCTCCGTGTGCACGTCTCCACTTTTGAGCCAATCACATAGAACTAACTCAACTGCCCTTGGTTTTAGAGATGGGGGCACTGAGGTAGGGAGAGGTCACACGGCTGGCCCGGAGTCACGCACTGAAGGGTGCGACCTCATGCCCTTTGGCCTGCACCCCGCTTCTCATTCAAAACGTTCAGGAGGCAAAGGAGCCCAGAGACACTGGGGCCGGACAGCTGGGCCACCGGGCCCTGCCGCGGAGCCTCACCTTGCGTCCCGCTGCCGGCCCGCCGGCGGGGCCCCTGCGCCTGCGCGGGGCTCTGGGCCTCGGCTTTCTGGGTCAGCAGCTCCTGCAGCTCCTCAAACAGCTGAAAGAGAGAAGACACGCAGGCCCGTCTCAGGGAGGGATGGTGCCAGGCCCCGGCTGACGGCGGGATTTGAAGTCTTGTCGTGAAGTACGCAGGACGTGACAAAACCCGAAAGATACTGACGGCCCATGCACCCTCCAGCCCACGCAGGAGATCAGGTGTTGCGCGTGCACTGGACTCGCCCACCTGCTCTCCCCCAAGCGCCCCTCAATGACGTGGGGGTCACTGTCCCTACCCTTCAGGTCCCTCTGCAGAGCACTGCTTCGTGAGTGGCACCCGGGCCCATGCAGCCTCCTACAGCCTGCCTTCCTCACAGCCCCCGGGGACAGCCCCCGCGGGAGGCATGTGTCAGAGCACGCATCAGCCGGGGTCTGTGACGCAGAAGCCGCAGCCCCTAAGGGGTAAGTGCCTGGACCCAGGGGGCAGGGGCAAAAGCCAATCCTCCAGCCAGGCTCTGGCCCCAAACCCTGTCCGTCTTTGACACCTCTCTGAAAGACCCATCTTCTCGGAGGATCCACCGACCACGTTTGGTTTGTGGCCGTTGAGGGGACTACAAGGGAGGGGCACCGCTCACCGCTCCGTAACTACTGCGGGGAACCAGGAGGCTGTGAGCGGGAGCCCCAGTCCCCATAGCGCCTCCAGGTGGGAGGAGGGTGACAGGACTCAACATCTGGGCTAGAAAAAACCTCAGGCCCCCAGGTGTGCCCAAGAACTCCTCCTTCCAAGCCTTCCTAAAAGCCCACCTTGCCCTTGGACTTGAGGCACTTGGAAAAAGATGTACCCCGCCTTCCTGACTGGGCTGAGAGGCCCCAGAGGCCCAAGGCCACATCTGCGGCACCCGTAACCTCTACGGCGCCAATCTGGCTGTACACCCAAGGGCACACACAGCCTGCGTGCTGTCACAGAGGTGACAAGCCATGACTGTGACTGTAAGGACAATGGCTACCAGCAGAGGGCTGACCCTGTACCAGGTCCTGCTGTGGGGACTTTATTTGTATAAACTCACTTAACCCTCACAACTCTAAGAGGCAGGTACCATTATATACCCATTTTACAGATGGGGAAACTGAGGTACAAAGCAATGAAGGGATTTGCCCAAAATCGCCCAGCCACAAAGTGACAGAACTGGAACCCTGGCTCACACACCCCTGCATGGAACCGTGACCTTCCACCCCCCCCCCTTCCCTGAGATAAATGTCCCTTAGACATTGCAGCTGGGGGAGGTGGTGGCTAGCCTGGCCTGCCAGCCCCCTCACCTGGATGTTGAGCAGGAATGAGGTCTTGGCCTCTTCAATGACCCTCTCCCTGACCTCGGGGGTCATCTCCAGAGCATTCATGCGGGAGCGGTACAGCTGCTTGAACTTGGTGGCGCTGGCGATGCCGGGGAAGGTGAAGAAGGCCAGGCCCTTGCCGGAGCTGGGCAGGTCCAGGGCCTTCTGAGCGATCTTCTTGAGCACCTGGCCCCCGGACAGGTCCCCCAGGTACCGGGTGTAGGTGTGGGCCACCAGCAGCTCGGGCTCCCAGCGCCCCACCTCGTGGAGTCGCCGCACGTAGCGCTCGGTGGCCTGGGTGTAGGGAACGGCCTCCTGCCAGTGGGGCCCGTACCAGAAGGCCATGTCCCGCTCCAGGGCGGGCCCGCGGTGCAGCTCCTCCGGGAAGTAGAGCGGGGCGTACACCGGGTTCTCCTTGTTGCGCTCGATCTCCTCCTCCAGGGCCTTGTACACGTGGTACAGGGAGGCCATCACCAGCTGAAAGCGGAGCGCGCAGGTCAGGCTGCCGCCACCGAGGACAAGGACCCCCACCCGGCCCTCACTGCTGCCTCCACAGCGGCCCTCACACCCTCCCCGGGCCGGGCTCCCACCTCCCGCGGCCCTTCCAACCCTCCCGACAACAGCGGCCAGAGGGGGCGTCACGTGAGAAACGCCTGACCAGTACTTTCTGAGCCTAAAGCCCCGCTGTCCCCTCACTGGGCAAACACAAGACCTAACTGAGTCCTCATAGAAACCCAGCACAGTTGTTACACCCATTTTACAGAAAAGCATATGAAGGCTCAGGCAGGGTAGACGTTGAGGTTGCACAGGCAGTCAGAAAGGACGCTGGCGTCCAGCCCAGGCGTTGCTAGGAAAGCCCAGGCGTTGCTAGGAAAGCCTGCACAAACGTGCTTCCAGGAGGCTCGGGAGCCTCTGGCCTTCGACCTCCGGGGGACCTGCTGCAGGGCCACACTCTCCTTCCTAGAGGCCCACTCTGAACCCCGCCACCTCTGATAACTGCGCTGGAGCAACAAGTCCAGTGTACTTTGGCTGGGGAGGAATTCCTGTTACACATTAATTCTCTAGCGGTGGGGCCATGGGTGAGCCACGCTCCCTCTCTGGGGGGTCTGAGTGACTCTGTGCCAGTCAAGCCTTGGTCCCCGCCCCCTGCAAAGGGAATAATCCAAGCGGGTACTAACTGGGGCTGGTGTGATGGTCAGGGTGGGTGATCCAGGTAAAGCTCTGGGCGCAGCCTGCCACTCGGCACTCAAATCAGAAGCCGTGGCAATGAACCCACCTCCTCTGGCACAATCTAAGTGAGCCCTGGGCCCTCTCGTGGACCATTGTTCCCACTTGGAACTCAGTGGCTGAGGAGTAAGATCCCAATCCATGGTTGCTGGGAGGGGGTATTCCAGCGGTCACCTCCCTGCTCCCGCTGCCCCAGTCACATAACAACTGGGTGTATGCCATCTTTTTGAGGGGGAACGGGGGCCTGGAAGAGGGAGCAAGGACTAGACCAGCCCCCACAGGATGCCGCCGAGGGCCCCATCCCCACTAGAACGGCACCTTTGATCTCCCTTCCCCCGAGCATTTCTCAGGTTGGAAGTGGGAGGGGTGTCCGAAGCCGTGTGATCCAGTTCCCCCACCCCCTCTGTTCAACCTGGACAAGCCGTTCCTCATGCTGATGGTTTAACAGGAGGCTCTAGCCTGGTTCTCTGTCAAGTACTTCCCGTCTATTTGCATGGATTTCGCAACCGTGCTGGGAAAGAGCACAGTCAGCGTCCTGCTCACGGTGAAGGTTTCAGGCGAAGGAACAGTTGCCTTAGGGAGGGAAGATGAGGTGTCCCCAGTCTCACTGTCAGGACGTGGCGGAGCTCAGGCTGGAGCCCATCCTACCCCTTGCCTTCAGAGGCAGCTTAGAACTGAGCCAGGAGCACAGGCTCTGAAATGAGACCAGCCTTGGCTTCAGTTTGGCCTTTCCCACTTACTGACTGGGCCACGTGACCTTCTATCAGTTACTTAACCTCTTCGAGCCTCCCCTTCCTCATCTTCCTTTTCAGGGCCGAGGCACAAGGCAGATATCGAGGGTGTAAAATGCCGAGCTTAGAATAAGTGCTCAGCTGACAGCACTACTGTCCCAGCCCCTCCACGATACTATCTAGCGGGCCATGAACTTGCTGTGTGACCCTGGGTAAGTCACCTCCCCTCTCTGAGCCTCCATGACATCGTCTATAAAATCATCCTCTCAGACATTCCCATCTGGTCCCTCAGCATCCTCGGTCCCAGTCCCCACGGAAACACTGGCCTGAGCCTTGGGCACACTCATAGCTGTCATACCGTCCACCAGGGCTTGTCCCACCGGACCACATACCTTAAAGCCTTCTCGAGTCACCTGGCCCTTCTGAAAATTCCTCATGAACTCGGCATTCTCTGCCTGGGTATGCACCTCCTTGGTGGCCTCCTTCAGGGCCTCGGACAAGTCCTGGGACATGCTGCAGAGGGAGGGTGAATAAGAGGGTGGCCGTGAGCAGGGTCCTTCCCCAGGCTGAGCTTCCGAGGGGGCCGCTCGCCGGCAGGCCAGCCTTCGGAAGACTTCGGCTTCATGAGGCTTCTCCGCAGAAATCAGTCCAGCCTCCCACCTAATACACCGACCGGCCACGTTTCCAACCACCTTAAGCTGCAGGCCCATCACCACTCCTCAGTCACTAAAAGATACCGTAATGTGGTCCCCAAAGCCAGGAGGGAAAGCCTGGCACTGGGGATTCCAACAAAGTGGAGGAGGAGGAGCAGCAGCAGCAGTTTGGCAGGGCAAGCATTTGCACTCAGCGGCTCAACTGCTTTGGTGAGCTTTTCGACCCAAGATTTAATTCACTGATTCTGTTGAGGTTTCAGGTACATTTCTCATGACCGCCCCCCCCCCGTCCCCCATAATATACTCATTATAAAAGCATTTAGGTTAAAACGCCCGAATAAAGCTGTGCTTGACTCAAAGCAAAAGTTTCTCTTTTTGGGAGTATTTCTGCCGTAGAGGTCTGATTCCACCTCCCTTCTCTTCCTGCCACACCCCTTCCAAAAAACATCCACCCTTGTTCTGTGCGTGCTCTTGGGAGAAGGGGAGGAACCAGCCTTGGATGTGGACAGACGACCAAGGTTCCAATCTCAGCTCTGACACCTGCTTAGCTGAGCGCCCCTGGGCTTGCTGCCTCCCTCGTCTGTAAAACGGGGGCGCGGTGGCCACAGCGGGGTCTTGACAGGCAGTGAGAAAGAGGAGGACTTGACTAAGAGTGGGCTCGGGTAAGAGCACCAGACGCCCAGGATCTCGGAGCCCAGGCTCCGGCAGCCGGAAGGATCCTAGATTAAGCGGAGGACACCTCTGAGCACACTCAAAAGCCCAACCCTGAAAACAAAGTTGGATACCACAGCGACACTCCGTCCCGTGGACCACCCACCTCCGCGCCAGGGAGCCGGGCACGTCAGGCACCTCCTCTCATCTAACTAACGCGGGAACAGGCAGAATTGGAACCCAGCCGCTGGCTTCCCGGCGCTCTCTGGGCCGGTCGGGAGGACAGGTCCCCGAGTCCCCCGGCCCCGCCACCCAGGGCTTACCTGTCGGGCTGCGGGTGCTCCATCTGGCCGGCGCTAGGCTCGCTCGGGGCTGGCAGGCTCGCTCCGGGCTGGCGGGCTGGTGGGCTGGCGGGCTGGCTCGGGGCAGGCTCCGGGGTGGCTCGGGGCAGGCTCCGGGGCAGGCTCGGGGCTGGCTCGGGGCTGGCTCGGGGCTGGCTCGGGGCTGGCTCGGGGCTGGCTCTGTCTTCTGCAACCGAGCGGTGGGAGGCTGAGAGTGACTGCCGAGCTCCGTCCCGCCGCCCATTTATCGCCAGGGGCGGGTCACGTGGCTGCGGCCCAACAGCTGATTCCAACTTTCTGGCACGACCTTTCCACGCCCTCGCCCCGCCTCTGCGCCTGGCCAGCGGGGGTGGAGGGGGAAGCCGTCACATGAGCGCGTTCGGGACACAAAGGCTTTGGAAACACGACGTTTAAAAAAAAAGAAAAAAAAAAGAAGAGAGGCCTGGGGGCGGGGGCTGAGATGGGAGTAAAAGGCAGAAAACTGTACTTGAACAATTAAAATTAAAATAATATTTTTAAAAGAATTTTAAAAAAGAAGAAGAAAGAAGGGCTCTTCTGGAAATCTGAGCAGCTGTTTGATTCCACCTCTCCCAGAAGTCCCCGCCCACTGAGGGGACTTGGGGCACCCCAGGAATCCGAGGGTTCCAGAGAAGCGGGTCTCAGAGGTGGAGGCTGGTGGGCACCCTGAGAGCCTTCAGCGGTGACCAGGGGTTCCGAGCTCCCAGTCCGGGCTTGCTTCTCCCTCCACCTGGCAGCCACACCCCCGGCCCCTGGCTTGGTTAGAACAGCACCCGGGCCCCCAACCCCAGGGCAGAGGAGGCCCCAGGTCAGAGCTGGTCTGGTTGTCTCCTCTGTCCCACTTTCGAGCTCGCTGAATCAGCTTCCCGACTTCCCCTTTCCTGTCCCCCCCCCCCCCGCCACAGGAATGGTCCAGATGCTATTCTTCGCCTCCTGTGATGGAGAAATAAGCCCCCCACCCCCAGGGATTCCACATCCCAATCCCCAGAACCTGTGGGTCTGTCGCCTTCCAGGGCAAAAGGGGTTTTTCCGATGTCGGTAAATCAAAGACCTTGACATGGGGAGATTGACCTGGATTACCCACCTGGGCCTAAGGTAATCACAAAAGTCCTTATAAAGAGGGAGGCTGCAGGGTTACGGACACAGAACAGAGCAGGAAAGGGAGGCCAAGGGCAGAGCGAGAGGCGGGAAGACGCCCCGCTACTGGTTTTGCGGGTGGCGTCCGGGGCCGCGATCCGAGGGAAGCAGGCGGCCTCGGAAGCTGGGAAGGCTGAGGCGGCGTCTCCCTGGAGCTCCAGAGCTACAGCCCCGCCAGCACATTTTCAGGACTTCTGAGCTGCAGAGAATAAATCCGTGTTTGGAGCTACTGTGCTGGTGGTGTGTCGTGACAGCAGTATGCAAGAATACAGTCCCCCACCGCCCACCCCCGGCCTGCTTCCTTCACACCCAGGGCAGAGCCCCAACCCCGGGAAGCAGGGGACAGGGGTGGGCAGTGAGACCCCGGGTGTTTGCCCTCCCGCCCTCTCCCAGCGCGATGCCTGGCCTTCCCTCCTTCGGCTTTCATCCGTCAGAACCCACTGCCCCCTTCTCCAGTCCTTCCTTTCAGAGTCTTCTGATCGGGTGGAATGGGCTCGTTGTCGTTTTGTGTTTTGTTTTTGTTTTCTGAGAGCACTGGAGATAGAAAGTCGAAGAGGCCTGAAGCTCACCTGGACGGAGCAGGGGTGCTCAGGATCCTGACAGAGGGGGCCTGGACGTAGAGAAAACGACCCAGAAAAGCGATGGGGTGGGGGGGGCATGGAAGACAAACGCGCCTGGGAAACTGGGAAGAAGCACTGCGGTCTGCTCCGAGCCAGCGCTCTCCCGTGCATGGTGTCCTGTCATCGTCAGCAAACCAGGAGGTGGGAGTCGATGTGCTGTGGGCGGGATGGTGGCCGCCCAGGACCGTCCATGGGCCAATAACACCTGGAACCTGTGAATATGCCACAGGTTACTTAGACTTTGCCGATGGGTTCAAGGTTACCAATTTTAAAGTAGGGAGGTCACCCTGGATTTTCTGGGTGGGCCCACGCTACGCCCGAGTTCTTAAACGTTCAGCACATTCCCTGGCAGAGGCAGAAGAGACGACGTGGCTGGAGAAGGTAGAGAGACAGGAGGTGGAGGAAGGACGAGAGACTGTGGGTCGTCAGGGCGGACCTCACGGGCTGGGAGGTGTGGGGGCGGCCATGCTTTGGGCAGCGGGGAACAGGTTCCCCGGATCGAGGACAAAGTAAGGCCCCCCGATGCGACAAGCGTGACGTGTTGGCTGAAGACGGCATGGACAAGCAGCAGCTCGGACGTCAGCGTGGCCGGGGCAGAGAGAGGGGGAGGGCAGGCGGGGGTGAGAGCAGGGAGAGACGGGGACAGAGCCCACGGGCCCTGTGGGCGGTGGCAAGGACCCTCTGCGCAATGGAGGGTCTGGAATGGAGGAGTGATGGGACATCGCTCCGGTGTTGCTGGGGTCAGTGGTGAGACGGGACTGAAGAAGGTCAAGGGCTGAAGGCTGCCTACTGCAGCGAGGCAGGGGACAGCCAGTGGTGGCTTGGACAGGCCGTCCCTAGGACAACCATACATTGAAGGCAGAGGCACCAGGAATTTCGGAGTGGAGACTGGGGTGTGAGGGAGAGCTGCAGTGAAGGATAATAACCCCAAGGGCTTTGGTTCCACCGACCACCAGGAAGGCAGAATTGCCAGTTCAGTGCGATGGGGGCGGGGGTGGTGGGGGTGAGTGGGGGGCGGGGAGCTCAGCAGCTCCATCTTGGAGGAATCAATTTTGAGATGTATGAGACAGGGTTTTGCAAACAATGTGATAAACAGGAGGCTTTTGTCCTTTTCTAGAAGTTTCACTTCTGCCTGCCTGCCTTGAAAGCTGCCCTTTCACCCAGCACCAGGAGGGAACCTGAAGAAGCAGCCGGTGACTCAGCAAAATTCGTCCGCCGTTTGCCTCCTCGAGTCCCCCCTCCCAACCATGACACAGCAGAAACGCAGCTGCCTCCGGGCGGGGTGGGATGAGGAAATCTGGACTCAGCACTTGGGTGTTGCTGGCGCCGCCTGGAAAACAGAAGTGGTTTGGCCGCAGGGAGGGGCCAAAGCTGTGGCCTCCGAGGTTCTAACAGTGCAAAGCAGAGGCGAGGCCCCAGCTAAGGCTGGGGGCGCACGGAGAGTCTCTTGTCTCAGCTGGACAGTGTTCGGGAGAATAGAGACCCCTCCCGAATATCCTCAGGCAGGGGACACTCCAGATAAACGAGGTTACACACAGTCTCCTGACCCCACCCACACCTCTCAGAGACCCAAAAGGACAGGCCTTTGACCCCGCAGGGCAGAACCCCCCCCCCACACCCCCTGCCCACCCTGCCCTGGGCGAGATGCAGCCTAAATGGAGCACAACCCTCTCCAGCAAAGGCAGACGAACCAAAGCAGCACATCCCCAGACGGGACACTGGAGCTTTCTGGGTTGTGGGCAAGGTTGTAAACCCACGGCGGACTGGGAGAAAAAGTTTCCCACGTGGAACAGGCAGAAGATGAACGCTCCTAACAAAAGAGCGCCTGAAAGCAGTGAGACCGTCGCTGGGAAAGGGTGACATTTAACACTGGGTGTGTATGCTGCACCAGCTGGGAGGGCCAGGAGTCCGCACGGAGTCCGAGGAGAAGGCGGCTGGCTGGCTGGCTGCCGGAACGCCCTTGGAGTCTTGGTCTCCTCCGCTCCTCCCCTTGCCCTTAATGTTGCAGACAAGGCAGCTGGGGTGACTGACTGTGCCACTCCTCCAGTCAACAGACGGCAGTAGCTCCCCGGGGCCCCTGGATGCAGGGCGAGCTCTGCAGCCCAGTGCTCCTTGCCCTCTGCCCTGGGCCCCGGGCCGTGTAACCAGTGGGAGGGGCTCAGTCCACGTCTCCATACCTGCTGCCAGCCGCAGGAGCGCTTGCCGCCACCTCCCACAACTGTCACGGCACCAGACCCCCTGGGCCTGGGCTCGGGCGGCCCCCCTGCCTAGAACGCTCTCTCTCTCACCCTGCTGTCAGGCTAGCCGCCATCTTTCGAGATTCAGCCCAGAAAGGGACTCTGGACCTCAGTGAAAGAGCTAAACCTGTGAAATTTATGCTATAGAATAAATCAGAAAGGAAGGGGGGTGGTAGAAGGCATCTTAATGGTAACAGGAAAAATACAAGAAAAGATTACATTTTTAAAAATCATCAACAAAAACCTTAGCGATCTTAGGTTTGGCAAAGATTTCTCAAACACAACACAAAAAAGCCCAGAAGTTCAGGGGAGAAAAAAATCAACCAGTGGGACTCCATCGAAATAAAACCTTTTGCTCTTCAAAAGACACAGTTGTGACCTGGCTGCCGTGGCTGGGAGGGTGGGTGCCGGCCTCAGGAAAATGCAGATTAAAAGCACAGTGAGATACCACAACACACCTATTCAAATGGCTAACCTTGAAAAGACCGACTCCTTCTACTGCTGAGAATGTAGAGGGACTGGAATCTCAGAATTACACTGTAGGGGGCCAGAATATGCCACCCCAAGATACACCACTTTGGCATAAGGCTTATTTTGAGCTGCAGACAACTGAAGAACTGAGGAGATGCCAAGAGGGCTGTCTGCCTTCCTCCTTTTATGTCTAGAAGCCGACTCCATCACCTGAGACAACTCTAGACTCTTATCAGCCCAGAGATAGCGCCCAGAGCGGTCCACCTAACACAGCTAACCCGCATCAACTCTTCTCTTGCATTCTTCTTCCCTACACGTCTATCCGGCCACCACCTGCTCCCTTTCCTTTAACTTGTCACTTCCCTACAAACTACAAATGGATTGTTCCTTGTCAGGGTATTAGATACTCAGCTCCAGTTCTGCCCACACTGTTTAGCCGCTGGTCCCTGAGTTTCTCCCTGTGTACGTCCACTGCCCCTGCTCACAAACGGTTTGTTTCTGTCGTGAATTTGCCATTTGTCAGTTTGGTTTCTGGGGCCCTGGCTGGAAAACCAAGGAGGGCAAAGGAAAAAGTGTCTTTCCCCTCCCCGATAGCACAGCATCTTTGGGAAACAGTTTGGTAATTTCTTAAGAGGCAAAACATACACCTGCTGTGCAACCCAGCCATTGCACTCCTAGGTATTTACTTACCTATGTGGAGTGAAAGCACATGTCCACACAAAGGCACAACTATACACGATGGTCTCGGTG